TAACATGCTGGTGCCTGAACAAGGACCTGAAAATGATGGTCATCTTCAAGAGGTCAGGAAGAGATTTCAGTGCAAGTGGACCAGAGAAGAGTCACAGGAGTAAGGGAGTCTGATCTTCGGGGGTTTTGCACTGGGGATTACCATGGGAAATTCCCTGTCTCAACCACTAGAGAACCCTCAGGTTCTGTAAACCCTGTTGAAGAGCTCAGGGGTTAAAGTAAAACCTGTCTTTCACCAAATTGTTTACCTTAATAAGGAAACATTGCTATTGGTTTGAATACTAGGGATATAGTGTGTCTTCCTTACTTTTCTCTTGTTGCTGGGACAAAATACCTGACACTTAAAATGAAGGAAGGAAAGATTTACTTAGCTCACTGTTTGTGGAGGTTTCAGTCCATAATCAGCTGGTACCAAAGCAGGGTGGCAAGGCACTGGGACAACAGTTCAAGGAAGCAGCCAGCAAAAGCAGCCAGAGCAAAAAGGGGGGCAAGAGCATGCCTCTTTTCCTCCCTTATATTGTATACAGGCCACCCCCTCTCTGGGCCAGTGAGCCCTCCTCTTGCACAGGATAAGGATATTTACAAAGTAGGGATCCTGGCTCCCTGCTGACTCTGTTAGTTAAACTCCTAAATTTCTCAAGTTGATACAATGTATCAACCATAACAAAGCATTTTACATTTAAAGCAATGGAGATTGGTTGTAAAAGCTTTGAAACATGTTGATCTGTAGGGAGCCTGCAGCTGGATATTGATCACATGTGAGGGCCCCTGGCAAATAAGCTGCCCCAGCCCAGAGAACACCAAGCCTCAAGGCAGTCCAAGAAATGGGTTGCTAGGCAAAGGGGTGTCGCTGTGACTTTATCCTGCTAAATGTATAAATAAATGCTCTACAGAGGTTGTGCAGGTCCTGTCTGCCCATCAGGAGAGAGGGTTCCACCCCAGCCCAGCTTTTGTCCCTTTTATTTTCCCATGCTCTTGCAGTCTACCCACCCCACTACTGAATATCTGGAACTACAGCTAGATGTGACACTGATCAACAAGGAAAGTCTATTCCTTTAATGTTTGGTCTTTGTGTAATTGAATTACTTCTCTTTAGAACCTATGCAATCTGAATCAGAACAGGAGATTTTGCCAGACAAAAGAAAAGAGAAAGCAAAGACAGTTCTGATGCTGAGTGGAAAGATAGTTTACCCGAGATTCTTTACTGCTTCACGGTCAGGGGTGGATTACAGAGGGTGAAGGGAGGTGTGGTTCTTTAGGAAGCCTTTCTGCTACACTGAAGCCAGCTTTACCGTGGCACCGTGGCCTATTGATAAATCAGTAAAATCCAACTTCCCTACACCTTTTGTGTCCCACACCTATCTTGTGGCACCATCAGCCCAGATATTATGGCCCTTTCTAGATCCACCTCACATGACAATTAAAATACCACTGCCAATGACTGCAGTAATGAAGGCTTTCATTTAAGCAAAACCAGAGGGTGATTCAGATGCTTGTCAAGTTTTCGCTGTGTATCTAGTCACTACTACCCAATGCCAGATCAGCAGAACCCCCGAGGTTCCATTAGATATGACCATCCTTTTAAAATTATTAAGGAACTAAAACAGGCTTGTGTATCTTATGGCCTGAACTGTCCTTCTTAGACTCCTGGGTTGATTTCAAGATTGGTTCAATCTGAAAATTTGATCCCCTGGGAAATGATTGGGTGCATGGTTCTCAATTTTTCACTGAATTTCTTTAATTAAAATTTGGTGGAGCAATGAGGTGGAATAGCCTGCCTGACGCAATGAGCGTGCCAATCTTCCAGTCCATATTTCTGCTGATCAGCTCACTGGTTCCAGGGACCGGTCTGGAATAAATCGACAGCTACAATATATGGTGTTGCTATTGTTCAGCCAAGGATGTGTTGTTTAAAGGCAGGGAAGAAGATTACTTTCCCGGTCAAATGGTTCCATCAGTGTTCAAAGTAGTTCAAAGTGCTAATGAACCTTATGTAGAATTTATAGCTAGATTAAAAGAAATACTCCGAAAAACAGTGTCTCAACCGGATTTGAGGTCCTGCTATTGTAAATGATATCCTTTGACAATGCTAATGCAAAATGCAAAAAGGTCTTTAGGCCATTAAAATCTCAGGGCACCTCTTTAGATGGCCATATAAAAGCCTGTCAGGATACAGGATCAGAAATTTCTAAGGCCAGATTACTTGGAGATACATTAGAAAGGATCTGCCCATTTGCTCCCAAGACTAGTCTTGGGTAGAACAATGGATATGTAAAGCTTAACTAACCCCTATAGATTTATCTAAACCAGTTATACACTCAAGTTTTACACCATCTCACTCTCTTACAGCTGTATTGTGGCAAGAAGAAATTGTTTGAGAATGGATTTTTCTTTCACACAAGGAACAAAAGTGGTCACTACACACATAGATAAATAGGCTTAATTGTGTATAAGGAATGCTCTCATGGCAGTTATCAGAAGACCCTGCATCTAGTGTTTTTTCTTTGACAAAACAGCGGATAGATCACACATTACAAAGGAGTGAACAGTGGCAAATTGGGCTTGCTAGTCATATGGGAAATAGAGACAAGCGTTTCCATAACTCTAAGCTTTTACAGCTTCTTAAACAGAATAACTGGATTTTACCTAAAACTGTATGTCCTGAATCTATACCTACAGCAGACACATATTACACTGATGGCAACAGCAACGGAAAAGCTGGATATGTGGAAAGGGTTTCAAGGGTGTGGCAAACTCCCTTTCATTCTTCACAGTTACATGACAATAAACTCTGCCGAAAACACACACTGGGTAACGATGAAGACACAGAATTACATCCATATGAAAGCACACAGTGTGCTCATGAAGTACATTTTAAAAGACAAGAAGGTACTAAATATTAATGGTTATCCATTAGTAGATTTTCCATAAGCATATATTTTCAAACAAGAAAATTTTGGACCTTATATATATTAAAATACTTTACACGTTTTTTATGTAAAAGCTTTATGTATTGATTGTTCTACCCAAGAACTTTATTATTTTAACTGAATTCAAGAAACTTATTTTAAAATCGCTCTCCATGACTAAAAAATGAACATATTTTAACATGTTTGAACATTTTTGTAAAAGTTTACAATCAGTGGAGTATATGATACCTTCAAATTTAGCTAAGATTTTTCTTCAAAATCTGTTTTGAGGTCATCCCTAGAACTAGCATTTGCTTCTGTGATATTTCTGCAGCAATCGCTCTAGGGACAAATAAATGTCTATGAACCTCTATTTTTTAACAATTTCAAATTATACTTTGAGTAGAGAAATATTCTGTTCTTAATTCTGATTATCTAGTTTTCCTTTTAATCTTTTGAGTTTCTAGAAAAATTCAATCATCCAAACATTGGGTTTCGCCTCTCGTACACTCACATTGGTCTCTTCGCTTTGCTAATGGCCCAGCCTGATCTGCACCTTTTCAGCTTTTACTCTCCTCAAATTTGAAATCCATTCACCATTTTCTGTTCCTTTCCGATTAGAGTTCTTGTCTGTAAATTTGTTTACCTCAGTTTTAATTGATATTCTCACTGAAGAAAGAACCCATATAGCCAGTGAAACCCTCACCCAGATGCTCAAGCCCTCATCCGTTCAAGCTGTCTATGAAGTCAGCCAGTCCGCTCTTTCGGCCTAATACTCCTATGCCTGCAAACAGTATCTGTATGTTCCTTCTGTTAGGTACACTATTCCATAAACTAAAATGATCACATCTTTGGAGAGAAAATAGTACATTTAAAACTTCCCTTCAACAACTTTCAAGGAGATGCTCTTGTGAGGTAGACAAAACAAACAAACAACAACAAAAAAAATCCCTTCATTCTCCATAAATTTGTTTGTTTCTTGATTAGCAAAAATACATCTTTAGCATAAAATTTCCCCCCCAGCTGGTTGGGAGGCTGGAACAGGATTCCAAATCTGAGGCTGATAGAATTTTTTGGCGCAGCTGAAAAGATAAGAAGTATGAAATATAAATGACCTTTAAGAATGTGGGGAGAGACCCCCTGTCCCTCCGGGGTCTGGCATTGTCTCCGCCAGACACGTGGTGTGGGGGCATACCTATAGCGTAGGTTTGGGGTGGTGCCCGAGGGGCATTAGTGATGCACAGGTAGCCCATTGGTATTCATTTCGTGTCACAGGTAAATTCCCAGGGGCGAGGAAGATGGAGCCCCTTGTTTTCACCTCCAAGCCTTCACGGGCTACAGTGGCCGTCTGGGGCAAAAACCTTTCAGAGGCCAGCCTGGCCAACGTACCAAGAATGTCCCCTACCAAGCATTTCTTGCACGGGGAGAGTCAGAGGTGAAAATAGAAGTGTTGCAATGCCACAGTTACACGGTATGCATTTTGGGAGGTCGCCCGTCATCGTTTTGCTATGGGGAGGGCATGCTTAAGCTGGTTTCCAACCGCAGTTCTTACTTAAGGGAGGTGAGACAACCTAAGCAACCTGTGTGCTAGGTCAGAAAGGAGCATCTGTCACTTTCTCCGTCCCCCAGTTTTTCTTTCATTCACCATCGGTGGCCTATTCGCTCGCTACTACCCCAGCGCCGGTTCAGCTCCCAGAGTCTGGGGAGCCTGGAAAGCCGCCCTCCCCGCCACAAATTGCTTTAGATTCCTCCCCAGCCTCCCGTGCCTCCAAAAGCCGAAAGGGAGTAGTTGCCTGCCCAGCTCAAAAGATGCCTGACAAACAGCAGCTCAGGGAACCGGAAGCGAATGACAGACGGCCGGAATGAATCATTGAAGACTACATTTCCCGCCATACCGCGCGAGAAATGGACGGTGGCCATGGCGCCCACCGGTCGCGGACTACACTTCCCGGAGCGCCCCGCAAAACGTGGCTTGCGTCTGGAACGAGTGCCCGTAGACTACGTTTCCCGGAGCGCCGCGCGAGGCATAGCCCGCGACGAGGCAAATGGTCGCGGACTACACTTCCCGACGCGCCCCGCGAGGCGTCGCCAGCGGCCGGCCGAGGGCGTGCCGATGCGGGAGCTCCGGACGTGAGGCATGAGCGGCGCCCTCCCCCGGCCCGCGCGCGTCCTGCCGCCTCCCGGAGCGAGGGTCTCACGGCGCGGGGCCTAGCGGCGGGCATCCCAGGCCTCGGCTTTTGCAGGGGCAGGTGCGGCCGCGCCGGGCGCCGGGGAGGGCGGCGGCCACCATGGAGGTAAGCGGGCCGGAAGACGACCCCTTCCTGTCGCAGCTGCACCAGGTGCAGTGCCCCGTGTGCCAGCAGATGATGCCTGCCGCGCACATCAACTCGCACCTGGACCGCTGCCTGCTGCTGCACCCCGCGGGACACGCGGAGTCCGCGGCCGGGCCGCACCGCGCCGGAGAGCGCGCCAAAGGGCCCTCGCCGCCCGGCGCCAAGCGGCGGCGGCTGTCGGAGAGCTCGGCGCTGAAGCAGCCGGCCACCCCGACGGCAGCCGAGAGCAGCGAGGGCGAGGGCGAGGAGGGCGACGACGGCGGCGAGACCGAGAGCCGCGAGAGCTACGACGCGCCGCCCACGCCCAGCGGCGCGCGCCTCATCCCCGACTTCCCGGTGGCGCGCGCCGGCAGCCCCGCCAGGAAGGGCTCGGGGAAGCGGCCGGCGGCAGCCGCCGCGGCGGGCAGCGCATCTCCGCGCAGCTGGGACGAAGCGGAGGCGCCGGAGGAGCTGGAGGAAGCGGGCGGCGACGGCGATGGCGACGGCGACGCGGACGCGGACGGCGAGGACGACCCAGGGCACTGGGATGCGGACGCCGCCGACACCGCCTTCGGGACAGGCGGCGGGAGCCGCGCGCACCCCCGGGCGCTGGCGGCCGAGGAGATCCGACAGATGCTGGAGGGCAAGCCATTGGCTGACAAGATGCGGCCCGACACCCTGCAGGACTACATCGGGCAGAGCAGGGCCGTGGGGCAAGAGACGCTGCTGCGCCCTCTGCTGGAGACCAACGAGATACCCTCGCTTATCCTGTGGGGACCGCCGGGCTGCGGCAAGGTGAGTGCGGCGCGCCCGCCGCCACTGAAGCTTGCCTCCCTCTCTCTCCCCTTTCCGCCCTCCAGGGCTTCGGGCCAGCACTGCCAGGGGCGTCTGCGATGGGCGTGGGGAGGTCACAGGTACCCGCGGCCGTGTTCCTGGACACACCTGCAGGGCTGGCTCAAAAGGCAATGGCTCTGAATGCCTGTGGACTCCTAGATTTTGTGCTACCTTTGTGCCCTGCCCCATGTCGGCTCCAATTTTTAGTGACCTAATTCCGAGGAAAACAGCATGCCACATGCACTGTAAAAGCCTGGTGTGTTCCATTTGTATATATACGGGTTCATGTAGGATAAAAGTGATTAAACGCTTATTTCTGTTGTGCATTCTTTCCCGCCCACTAATTGGTTCAACACTAGATTTTCAGAATAAGAAAACTCTTTCCTCTGCACGCTTTTTCCTCAAGCTTTTCCGTAACTTTTCTCATATTGCTTTGTGTAGCAGCAGCAGCAGTGCTGATAACCTTCATCAGGGACTAGCACAAGGGCACAGGGGGCACTTTGGATACGGTGGGTCTAGAGAGTGTGTCATTGGAAGATCAACTGAGACAAAATGAGGAGGAGGTGAGCCTGAGAGACTGTTCAGACGCACTTAGCAGTTGGTGTTCCCCCATTTGCAGGAAGAGGGAGGAGAAAATAGGGAGAGACAGGATCTGGGGTCAGAGGGTCAAGAGCTCTCCTACCCTTGAGGTTCAACTCTCTCATACACAGGCATGTTGATAATTAACTTCTTCCAGCTTTGACTCTCACAATTTAACCACAGTTCTCTTCAATTTCTGGAATGCATCTTGCACTTCCCAACTTGTAATGCTTTTATCTTTCGCCAGGCGTACATAAGATGTGTCCCAAATACTGCCCAAATGTGTGCTGGGGATCAGACCCAGGACGATCACTCTACCACTGAGCTGACCCCCAACTCCCAGATAATAATTTATGACCCTAGTAGAATTGATGTGTGCCCTCAATTGCTACCTACCCCATTGGGGGTGGGGGGTGTGCACAGTGGCATTCTTAGTAATTAGTAATTATTAAGTCTTTATATAAAATCATGAGAATGAACATCGACCCTGCTCCTGTCTCAGACTGCAAGACAAGATGTGCAGGGAGACAAGTGGAGGAGTCCCAGAAGATTTAGTACAAGATGGTCACTGGCCCGGCTGCTCAGGGAGGTGACGGGTGATGAGCTGCAAGCTTTTGTGACATGGGAGCCTGATCCCAAATGGCTGGCAGGCAGACAGGGATTTGATGAAGAAGTAGGGACAGTGTCTAGCAGTGCTGTACAGCTTTTAAAATAAAGTGCCGCCTTTCCGTTCAGGAGCCGATTTGCCTCTCAGTGCACAGCCTTCCCTTTCTCTTTACTCCCATTTTCACTACGATGCTGACAGTAACCTTAATAAGGGCATGGGCACTCTGCCAAGCACTGCTTAAATGCCAAGGACTGAGGACCAGTCCTTGCCTGGGACCTCCCTTTGTTTTTTGCTCAGTGCTAACAGGATTGAGGTGGAGTTGTGTGTCCTACTAGAGGGGACATTTTGAAGTGACAAGCTGTGTCTCCAAAACGAAGTGGTTGTCGTTCACTCCTATTCTTAGCTGTTCAGCTGAGCCGCCTGTTCTGGCTGTGGTTCCAGGGTCAGCTCTACACCCTGGTCCTTCAACCACAGTGCTTTCTTGGCTGGTGGGGGAGAATTTTTCTTTTCTCCTCTCTTTGGGAGGTCACAGCTGTTACCTACATTGCTAAATCAAGACAGCCATTCTTCATTGGGATTCCAGAGATCTTTAGAGTCCCCAAGAAAGGAATTTAAAGCAGAAAAGTTCAGAATTAGCTTCAGAGTTAGCTTGCTTGCTTCACTATGTGTGTATCTTCTGCTTCTCTCTTTGACATTCCAAAATACACTGTAGTAATTCACAACACATCCATACCTCAAAGCATCCTTCAGAATCCACAGGTTGCTTGGAAAAAAGCGCCTTCCCACCAGAAGCTTCCTGGCCAGCTTTTCAAACTGTGTGTGTGTTTTCTTTTCTAGACTACCCTGGCTCACATCATAGCCAACAACAGCAAGAAACACAGCATAAGGTTTGTGACACTGTCCGCAACAAATGCCAAGACAAATGATGTGCGAGATGTTATAAAACAAGCTCAGAATGAAAAGAGCTTTTTCAAAAGGAAAACTATCCTTTTTATTGATGAGATTCATCGGTTCAATAAATCTCAGCAGGTACATTAACTTCCTTTTTTTGTCTTTTGGTCATTGTTTATCAAACTCAGATCACTTCAAAAAGTATAAAGCACTACAGGCGCCAGGGACTGTTGTGTTTATTAGCTCAGACTACAAAGAGGCATCAGCTTTTTTAATCTATCTCTTTCTCGCTCCTCTCCCCCACAGTTTCTGTCCCCCTTTTTTATGTGACAAGAAAATGCTCTCTGTAATAAAGGGATGCTTGGTGTTTCCCTGTAAAAGAGCAGCTTTGGATTAAGCTTCCAGGGTTTATGAAATTTTCATCTCACATATTCAGTCTTTGTGAGCAAATGTGATTTTAAGATCATTATTTGAGCTTTTTAAATGTTTCCCTTACTTTTAAAATTATGCTGTATATTTGTGCGCCTTCAGGGTCATCAAAGTGGATGATACAGTAATATAGTCATCCCTGATTACTTTAATGACTTTCAGAAATACACCACCCTGTTAGCATTCTGCCCAAGTTAACCTGGTAGATTTCACTGGAACTACTGATGCACCTTAGTGTTTCTCCCTAAGGCAGCACCTGCTGGTTTTATATTCACTGGGTCTGCAGGACGGTTAACGTGATTATTTACAATGGAAGTACTGGTGTTTTTGTATTTTCTTCTGCTTCTGTAAATAAAAAAGCTCATATGATATGCATAAGCTATGTACCAGTTCAGTTTTGGGTAGAAGGTACAAGGGAGTCATTTGTGTTAAAACTTAGCACTCTAGCAGCTAAGTTTTTGACTTAGGAACCAAGGAACTCTTTCAAATATAGTGCTCATACTTGGTGTCTGTAAGGTAAAGATAAGGAAAAAGGGAGTGGATAGTCAACTTACATGGGGCGCTGCAGGCGACTGTTGACTGGAATCGCTTTCTTCTGTTTTCCTCCCATGATTAGGACACTTTCCTTCCTCACGTGGAATGTGGGACACTCACCCTGATTGGAGCAACCACTGAAAACCCTTCCTTCCAGGTCAACGCAGCGCTTCTGAGCCGCTGTCGGGTGATTGTTTTAGAGAAGCTTCCAGTGGAGGCGATGGTGACTATTCTAATGCGCGCAATCAACTCCCTGGGAATCCATGTCCTGGACTCCAGCCGGCCAGGCGACCCTCTGAGCCACAGCAGCAACAGCAGCTCTGAGTAAGTTGACTGTAGGCAGAGCCCAGGGGCGCATACCAGTACCACCCTGAGGAGCTCCTGGCCTGGCCACCCCCCGGAAGGGGTGGGGCCTCATCAGGGCCGGCGGAGACCTGGCAAAAATAGTGATGGCCAGTGATGAAAATGCTGAAGCAGAGGGAGGCGCGAGGTGACCTCCGCAAAGGGTTCCTCTGTTAAGATGGATTTTCTTGTTTCTGACGGGTGTAACCATGACTCTTTCGGCTTTAATGTTGCTCTGTGGTGGTAGTGCTGGGGTGTTTGCTGTTGTATTCAAAGTGCTTCTCCTAGCTGACTGTTGTAAAAGCTTAGAAGACTGTGGGAAGCCGCACTGATGGTTTTAAAGGGTTATGTGTCCCCCACTGGACAGAACAAATAGGTGCATGCTTCCTAGATTTAACAGGTCTTTGGAGACTTACCTCGTGGACTTGCATTTCTTTTTTCCCAGCAGTTTATTACTGTTTTTAAAAACATTAAGAGAAATTCAATGTAACTGTAACCATACCGTTATTTAACCCTTGTTTCACACCCAGGGAGCCAAAGTGCTGAAGGGACGGGATTCGTATTGAAACGGCATGTGAGGTTGTCTCTTGCCTTTGACAGCCAGCTTCAATGGCACAAGCACCATGCATGTTCACGGCTGCACAGGTGTATGTTTCGTGGAGAATCAGCTTAATTTCTTGGGTCAGAGGTTTTCCTTTTTTATATTAGAACACATTCCTCCCAAGGCATTTGTTCATGTGTCAACTGAAGCACACAGTGGAATGTAATCTGGTTGGGACCCAGCTACTGCCCTCCTCCTGGTGCTGTGGGCTCCCCAGCTGCTCGCGCCTGCCCCGAGGCCAAGTTCTGGAGCCGCTTTTCTGTGGGGATTAATGTGGAAGGCACAGTTGCAGGCTCAGGCTTAGGTTTCAGTAGGCTCTGTGTGCCTGGCCTCTCCCATTTGTTCCCACCCCACATGTGGGAAGAATGCTCCTGGTCTCAGGAAAGCCTAAAAACATTTGGCCGGCTTTCCTGTGCGGATGGAGACTGCTTCATCTCAGCGCGCAGTTGTGTGGAGCAGCTGTTAGAACTGTGGCTGGAAAGGTCTGGAAGCTGCTGGTATCCATCAGGTGTGCTGCGCTCAGCAGACCCGCCGGGGTCTCGGGCTCTGGCCGGGGTGCTGCACCTGTGTGGTCAGCACCGTGACTTTTACTCCCCTTTGCCTTCTTACGCCCCCATCTTCCTGGGAGAGCTCTGAAAGCAGGAACTTGCCCTTACTGGTTATTTTCCAGTATCACATCTAGCGTATGTTTAATGAAGAAAAGCAGCTTAATTTTTTTCTATTTTATTTTATTTATTGTTTTAGTGTAGTCCAACGTAAAGGATAATTACCCAGGTAACAAGAGCCTTTTTCTATAATACCATTGCCCTTTTCATGACAGCAAGCAGAGTAAAAGGAAAGAATAAAAACTTAAACCTGTGAACTGGTCGACTTGTTAGCAGTGGATAGGAAGGTAAGTTAGGCGATAGCACAGGCCACAAACAAATCATTTACATTGTGAACGAGTTCCTGAGAGAAATATCTGCCAGCCCGCTGGCCTTGGGTACCTAGGAGTGGATCATGTTGTCTTTCAGCTATGGTAGGTGAAGTTCTACTTTCAGATCCCTGTTGACTGGTATCATCTGTGTGTTCATTCCTGTGCACACGCATCAGGCTTGGTCACTCGAGTCCAGCCCGAAGCAGAGAGCGTTATCCCCAGCAGTTACTTTCTTTTTTGGAGGGCTGGGATATGTATTTGTATCCTCCTGCCATGTTTGGGTGCCCTGGATGGCAGCTAGAACATGCACAGAGAAATCCGAGGTTGTAGAAGGCTGTGCATGAAAGGAGGTGAGCTGGGTGCTTATCTCAAACCATTCCTGCAGCTACTTAGGTCATTCCTGTTTCTGCTCAAGGAATTGTGAGTTCTCACAGTGTACATGTGTGCGTGAATAATTCCCATTAAAGCTGGAGAAAAGCGTTTGGTTTGGTGCTGCAGATTGGACAAGGCCTTATATATGCCAGGCACACATTTGGCCTACGAGCACCACCTCCAGCCTGAGTCTTCCATGTAGGTGAGGGTGCCAGCTAGAGTTCTGGAGGGTGGCAGGAAGCTTCCCCGTGCCATAATTCTTTGCTTCGCATGGCCAGTGAATGGTTGCTGGGTGTTTTGCTATCTGAAAGCATTTTGGTCACATAAAACAAACAGTAAAGCATCCTATCTGTGCTGGGTTAATTCAGGAAGTGAGGAAAAATATCCCTGGGCTGTGGTATGATGCACTGGTGCCGCTGAAAATGGGGAAGAAAAGCAGTGTTTAATCACCCCGCCCTGTGTGCTGCTCTGAGGGTTGTAGGTCCTCAGATCACAGGACATACATGGAGTCAGAAGCTCCTCTAGGAAGCTGTGGGTTGTAGACCAGATAGCATCTTTGGAGAAGGCGGAGGTGTGAGCAGCATAACTGCCTTCTAGCTGTCCAGCCAGGTGGGCTTCCAAGGCCTGGACTGAAGTGCTCAGTGGTCGTGGGACCCTTTGAAGGGTGCTTGTGGCTTTACTATGACTTAGGGCTTTTCTCTAATCACGTGGAAAACGGAGGCCTAGACAGAGTGGCCCCCAAACAAAATGCCTAACGATATTTTGCTGTCTCTTTTTTTGAAATGTTTAAATTGTTTGCCCGCCTCTAAGTAACATTTCCTGCTGCTACAAACAAAGGTAGTAGAACATGGGGATTAAAGGTACTGACCAGAGTAAATTGTGACTGTGGAGTGGATTTTAGTACTTTACTCAGACTTTTTTTTTTTTACTGTAAAATAACAAGGTACATAAGTTTAGTATAGCAGTGCCTGTAATCCCAGCACCCAGAAGGCTGAGACAGGAGGATTGCAAGTTCAAGGCTAGCCTGGAAATATAGAGTGAGACCCAATGTCAAAGGAACAACAGTGTAAGTACATTGAGATAGCTATGCTAATATAAAGAGAAAAGTTAACATACATGAGCTAATCTGAGTATAAAGAAAAAATAGGTATGTTAAATTGGTGCAATAACAACATCAGAAACTAGAAACTACTCTCGTGGACACTACGTTGGTTCCCTGTGACGACTATATAACAAATTACAGCAAACCCCATGGCTTATAAGAGGAACTTCATTTTCACAACACTGCAGTTGGGACCAAGATCAAACGCTTCCCCCTGTCAGCATCGTGTGCTCCCGGCACTCTTTAGCTCGAGGCTGCATCGCTCACCTTCCTGTGACCTCTGTGTCTTCTCTGTCTTTTAAAAGGATGTTTGTTATTGGATTTAGGGTGCATCCTAAACCCAGGGTGGTCCGACTGTGAGATCCTAGCTTCACCTCCACAAACCCTGTGGCCAAAAAGGTCACAATCACAAGTTCTAAGGGTTAGAACTGACATCTGTTGGGCTCACTGTTGCACTCACTACAGGTCCCTCCCAGGAAAGTCATGGCTCTGTGAGATTTAACAAAGGAGGATACTATCTGTGAAATGCACGTCCTTTCTTTGTGGAGAAAATAAGTTTTGTTCTGTTTTTACTTTCACTCTGGTTACCATAGAAACAACTTGGGCTTGAGGCTCTCCAAGACTGACAATTCTAAAGAGTGTTCTATTGAATTAATTCAAATAGTTCTCATCACCAGTTATTTGAGTGTTTGTGTTGTGGCAAGCACTGCCCAAGCATTCTGCGTGCTTTGTGCAACCCTCTGCCCAGCTTTGGTTTCTTTTCGTTAGATGAGGAAACTGAGGCATGAAAAGGTTAAGTAAATGCCCACAGTCCCCCAGCTTGAACATGCTAGTACTGCTTTCACAGGGGTTCTACTAACTGCTCAGGGATCTCAGTTCTCCATACACTGCTTTGTGTAAGGAAACTTAATTTGTAAAGGATGAGGAGCACAAAATCTCTTCCACAGGGCATCAGGAGGGCCTCTCAGCCAGGTCCGCACGTTGCTGTCTGGGACGCGTTGTGCCAGGGTCTGCCCCTGGAGATCTGGCAGTCAGTAAACTGGTGGTGGTAGAACCACATCTGTACTGAGCAGGAAGCTTCCCCACCCCAGGATACATGCCCGGGTGAGAACTGCTATCAGCAGCTGTCAGCCTGTCTGTCTGTGTAATGTTCCTATTCCTTGGGTTTGTAATTTATGGATGGAGAGTTCAACCAAGCCTTAGGTCCTGCCATGAAATGTCAGGTACACAAAATTTACCTACTTCACTCCTCCACCTTTAATATCCAGCCATCTAAGTTAGTGTCCTCCAAATCCCAGTATTTCCGGCCAGGAGAAGGCGGTGTGTGGAAGGATAAGGACCCAGGAGAGGAAGGGAGGGGGGAACTTTCTGTATTCCTCTTGTAGGTTCAGAGCTTCCTCCTGAGGGGAGGAGCGAGGCTCCCTAGGTCTGTTTCGCCTGGGTCCTATCAGAAGGAATCTGGTCTTCTCCAGCACGTTTGTGTGAACCAGTTTTCTCCCTTACTATCGAACAGTTGTTTATTACATATTTACTATCTGTTGCTTATTCTTTGTCTCTATGAGATATTTGGCAATCTGTCGCCAAAGGAAGTTTTATCTTGTTTACTTCTAGTTTGCCTTTGGAAGGTAATGGAAACATTTATATGTTTATGCTTAAATTTTAAAATGTTAGATTGCTCTAGAACACTACTTTTTCAAGGATCTTTAAATAAGTTACTGTTTGCTGAGGTGTTTTATAAGGATCAGTACAAATTCCCCTTTCTTTATTCTTGACATAGGTTCTTTTTTCCCTATTCTAGGATCTCAGACCATCTTAGTACTTCTTATTAATCTGCAGAGCTCAGATAAGCAGGTTCAGGACATGCTGGGTTCAGAACACGTTGAGTAGAACCTGCAGAGCTTCCTGCATGGCGTTCTGAACTACAAATTTCCATTTTATAATGTCCTTATGTGACTGTGGTGTCACCAACAGCCCTGTTTCGTTGGTTGGCCAGAGTTTCTGATGCTTCATTTGGGTTTAAAAATACTCTGCCCTTGTAGCCGGGAGTGAAGTTGGGAATGTGGATCACACCCAGGGATGAGGTTTGGGCTGAGTGGGGGCTGGTGGCATTTGTGTGACAGCATGTTCCTTCCTCAGAAGTATTAACCCGGAGCAGCAGAATGCCTTAGACTTTCATAAGGTTTAAAATTCTAAGAAAGGGCATGCAATACACAGCATTTTCAAAGCCTGACTTACGGTACACTGTTTATAAGGAACAATAAAGGACAAATTCGTAGGAAAAGGATATATATCAAAATATTAATTTTAAATTAGTTCAGGAATGTATACTGAAGTTAGTCTAGAAGTAGGTGACATTTCTCCTGTTGCGTATTTTTAAATTTTAATACACATGTATTTTAGAAGTAATATTCAAGTCTGAGTAGCTTGTTTTTCGAGCCATTATTGTTAAGGTTGTGAAAGTGGACACAGTGTCATCTCAGATTAGTTTAAAAACTTGGGCCCAAGGTTAATCACCACATGGCTGGCTGAATCATAAAAGAAATCCAGCAGATGACCTGGCCACTGTTATCTCTAGGTAGTGGAGATAGGGATTTTGTTTTCTGTACTTACTGGGTTTTTAAAAGTAGTGCTTCACTGAGAGGTGGTGAGAAGGTGAAGTCCGCCGTCCACCGTGCGGACACTGCGGGCTTCTCGGCTGCCAGGCACCGGCGTCACGTCACGGGGGAGGAAGCAGCCTGATTTCGCGCTTCAGGTGCCCCGTCTAGTGGGATGGAGAGACGAGGTGGTGGCCAACAGCAGAACTCATGGTTCTGGGCGTACACAGTTCCACCTGCTTTTACCCCCGTCCCCCCGCCGTGGTCCTCTGGAAGGCCGTGCTTTGGTCCTTCCCAGGCGGACCGGAAGTGCTGGGCAGCTTCGGGTCTCTTCCTCCTCAGCCACTCACGGATGAATGTGCCCTTCTCGTCAGTCACATCGAGGACACCCGTGTCCCTTTTCGTGCTCTTTCCTTGTCGTGTTGCCTGTAGTACATGTCCTATCACTTTCTTTTAAGTCGTCTGGGAAATCTGGTGTCTGGCTGAGAGGTGGCGGTGAGGTGGCTCTGGCGTGTGTCTTGAATGGCCTGGTGAGGAGCCTGCTGAGAGGACACAGCCTTCGGCGGGGAGCAGGTTGAGGCGTCAGGCTGTGAGCAGCCCTCACCAGGAGTCTGTGGCCGTGGTCGGTTAGAAAGCCGGTCAGGCCAGCTGTCCGCATGGGCAAGGCCCTCCCCGGGTAACTGAGTCGCCGCCATCTCTGGTAGACGAGGGAGTGAGAGGAAGCAGCCTTTCAGACCCAAGCGCCTAGTCTCAGTGAGGAAGCTGCCGCGTGGTATTATGCAGTCGCCCCCAGATGAGCCTAGGGGAGTACAGTAAGGCGTCTGGGGTAACCCCAGCAGATGAGCGGAGCCCTCGGAGCTCTCCCCTGCCCAGGCCGGGTGGCACTTGTGTGTTCCACGCCACGATGTGAGCAGTCCCAGTGGACTTACGTTGCTATTGATACTTCCGGTTGAAGGATGATAATGACTTGGGTGAGCTATAAATTACATTTTGCTTCACAACCAGCAGCTCAGGAAATCACAAGACCCTTCCAAGTGATGTTTTAGCTCGCTTGTCTGACTAGACTGGGAAGGGAAAATTTTGCTTAATCAGACTTGAAAGATAATCCATGAGGCTTTTTTATGATGGTCCAGATGTAGAAGTCAGATCTTAAAGTTGAGTCCTGACCTTTGGAGAGAGGTTAGGTGATTTACCCAAGATCTCCCCAACCAGTCCTGGCATCCGCTGATGTGTTCTCAGACTAGTGACCCTTCTGCCCCACGTGGACTTACACTTTTAATACCCTGATATGGGGAGGCCAAGAGCTAGAGACCTGGTACTAGTTTCCACTGTACCCTAAAAACTGGGGACCGTGTTTGCAGTTTGTAAAAGGAGGGGATTGACCTGTCTATGCGGAGCCTTTCAGAGCCAGTATCCTGGCGCAGTTCCACTTCTCCCTCTTGTGGGAGACTGTCTGAGCATTCCCATGCCACCCAGACTCCCCAGCCTTTGCAGCATGTGTGAGGTGCAGGGCTCAGAGTGAAGTTTCACTGTCCCACAGCGTGACATCTGGTGGCAGCTTCACACACTCCCGAGCCTATGTGATGCTCTGAGACCTCCAGCGTCTCTCTTTTCTCTAAGATGCTTAATTAGCTACATTAGTTCAGAAGAAGGGGCAGACTCTTTGAGTTCAGGGTGCTTCCCAGTGAATTCCCCGAGGAGTCTTGGTTCATCCCGCTGTGTGCAGAGTGGATGTGGTCTGAACGGGAAGTCACTGACACTGGTTGTGTTGCAGGCCCTCCGTGTTCATAGAGGACAAAGCGGTGGACACTCTGGCTTACCTCAGCGATGGGGATGCCCGCACTGGCTTGAACGGACTGCAGCTGGCAGTGCTGGCTAGGTTAAGCTCCAGGAAGATGTTCTGTAAGAAGAGTGGGCAGACGTACTCCCCAAGCCGCGTTCTGATCACCGAGAATGATGTGAAGGAAGGCCTCCAGCGCTCCCACATTTTATATGACCGTGCCGGTGAGTACCTGGGGTGTTGAAAGTGTCACTGTGGGGTGCTCATGTCCAGGCACCAATGCTTAGCTGGGTCAGCACATACCCCAGAGTCTCGGGTGGAACTGCATACTGGTGATGGACAGGGCCGACCTTTCGGAGGATAGGCCTCGGGCAGAAGCTGCTCGGGTGAGAAGCAGGAGGAGCTCTCGGTTTGAAATCACAGGCTTCCACTTTGTGTAGCAATGTCATTCAGTTTTCCCCGTTATTGTCTGGGGGCGCCCTTCAGAGTACAAGCGCTTGTGAAAACTCATGCGTTCAGCTGAAAGTGGCTAAGTCTTATCAGTAGTCAAGCAGTGACAGAAGGACTTCTGCTCTAAGTGGCTCAGTGGCTTTCTTGATAGTTAAAATCCTAAGTTTCTAGAGTCTGAAAATTGTTTTCTATGGATCCTGATGCTTTCATGTAGCTTTTTTTGAAAATTTAGCTATGCAGTGTGCACAAGGCTGTGGTAACGGCAATCACAGATGGGAGGTGGCCAGCGCCGCTCAGATGGTGAGCACAGGGCGTTCGCATCCTGTTTAGAGGAGGTAGCAGGTGAAGGTAGATCACTGGAGATCAGGCTGGGGCACTAATGTGGCTCTGAATGCATCATAGTGCAGTAAATGGAAAAAGAATTTCCACATGTTCAAGGGTTCTGCAGGTTGTCAAGCTTCCTGTGTCTCACATCGACTCTGCACGTCTCCAACATCCCTAGCAACAAGAGTCCTCCTTCCTGTTGGAGAAGGGGGTGGCTTCAGAAGGACTTTAGTCCCAGGCATTGTTCCTTCCTGGGCGCACACACTCACCACACAACCTCAGAGAAGTGACCAGACCTCGTGGACGTTGGTGCTGTCTGCTCGGCTGGGCGTTGTGGGGTGTCCCTGGGGCCAACGACACATGACACGTGACACATGGTCCTGGCTGTACGTGCCAGTGTCGTGCCTCTCGGCAGGGCCCTCTCACAGGCTTGCTCGCCTGGTGCTCTTGACTGTCATGTCAGCCTTGGGAGAGTCTGAGAAGGTAGACATCTAAATGCAGGGTTCTGTTTGGCTCTTTCCAAAATACAAAAATGAGCTCAGGATGTACAGTGAGCAGACTTTGAAAAGTGACAGAACCCTCCGTGTGGACTCCCTGTGTCTGGGTTTCCACAGTGGTCTTCTTTCTGCCTCTTCGCTGGTGTCCTGAGGCTGCTTGTGACTGGAGTCTTCTGTCAGTGTTCTTTTATACTCGATCAGATCATCAGCTAAAGTCCATGCAATGTGGCATTTGCTAGCAATCAGTGAGTTTTTCACAGATGTTTAAGAATTCTCAAAATTGCCTTAGTATGTAGCTTAGTAATGTCACCCCCATTTTACAGAGAACTGGTCTTGCCTCAGTTCACAAAGCACATGGTAAAATCGTCCTCAGAAAGGCCTTCCTTCCTGCAGTCTGTGAGCCTCCATGCCATGGTTCCCAAGCTCACCCTGGATGTGGCCCTGAAAGTCACAGCTGGTCCTGGGGAGCCATACCTGGCGGAGTCACCATGTCTCTGGCACATGCCTCAGCCTGGGGGACCTGGGGGACAGTGGAGACCTTGAGAACCCCACTCTGTGCTCCCTTCAAATATCAGTGTGTACCTTGCCCCTGATGACACACCAGCCTGTCTCCCTCAGGAAATCCACAGACAGCATAAATGCCATTCTCATCCTTGAGAAAGGTTCTTTTCAGGCTGTTTCTCAAATAGACGTAGAAGCATTCCCCTGGAAACCAGTTCGCTTAGACTCTTGAACCTCTCTGGTGAGACAAAGACCCTACTCCCAGAGTTTTTATTGGACCTTTTAATATCACCTGGGGCATAGTTACCCACTAGTAGGATTCAGTAACTACTCAGCTTTGTCTACATCAGAGTGAAGAAATTTCAGGTGCTAAGAAACTCTGGCATGCATTGACACAGGGTTCTGTAGAAACGGGAAACTGCTAGTTACAAAGCAGTGTATGAGAGATGCGCACATGGCAGATTGTGTGGCATCATTAGAGGATGCAGCGTGGCATGGCATTTCTGTGGTACTCGTTCTGTGGTGCCCAGGCTTGTCTTAATTAATGCAGCCCTGGGAAGTCGGTGCAGTGGTGACCCCATGTTACAAGTGGGAACTTTGAGGAGCGGGAAGGGTGAGGAACTTGGCTATGGCCATGCGTGAGTCTGGGCTGTGTGGCCCCAGAGCCTGTGCTCTGGCCTGGGTACCCCTGGCATTGCCTCTTGCATGCCTGGGAGAGCTGGGGGATGTGGAACCCATGTTTTGGGCATGTAACTTTGACAGAAAGTGGACCAAAAGTGGTTTCTTCCATCCTGCCATCCCCATGCCTTTAACCCGCCCTGCCCTGTAGAGTGGAACACAGGGTATCTGGGGCGGGTGTGGGAGAAGGGCCAGAACCCTGTGGATCACTGGGACGCTTCCCAGTTGGCATGCAGCTGCTGGATGCACTTGGCCATCCCCGACACTGGGCTGCTCAGTTCAGTGCCACCAGTCTGGCCTGGGTCTCCTTGGAAATCAGGCCCTCAGGGTCCCTCCCCTCCAGTGGGCCTACACCTTGTCATTCACTCCCATCTGCGTCTGAAAGCCAGGTGTCTCCTGACCAGCAGGTTGCACAGCTGGATCTGGTCAGGGGGCCCAAGCACCACCCAGCAGAATAGGGTCTCATGGCTGAGCTCGCTCGTGTTAAGCCCAGAGCTGTGCCTCACAGGAGCAGTCCCTCTGCTTCCGCAGGAGGATCCTGTCCTTGCACTGAAGAGAGAGGATGTCAGGAAGTTATGAATAGTATGTGGGTGCCAGTGCCATTTCCTGAGAATTATTTATAATAATCAAATATGTTTTTTCCATGTTACTGATTTGCTTGCCTGTGAATGCAGGGTCAAAATGGGACAAAAACCAAATGGCACGTTCTTGCAGGATGAGAGCAGTTAGCCCCTGTCCCGGTCCCCTGAGTGCTGCCATGCAGACATTCCCGAACCAAGGATAGGGTTCAGATAGCAGGAAGGCACTGGAAATTACACTGAGCCACAAACAGCCTGTCACAGCTGCCCTCGCCACCTCACTCCATCCTGGTGCCCTGACTGAACCCATGCCCGGTTCTCTCCAGTGGACCGAGGAGGCCAAGGACGGAGCTGCCTTACAGGGCACAGCCCTCCCCCACCCTCCGCAGCAGCCTCTTCCTCTGCACAAGGATGGGTTGTTGCAGGCACCCGAGCCCCGAGGAGAGCCCTGCAGCGTGATCAGAAGATCCTGACTACCGAAATGTTCAAATCCTGTTACCGCTGGAATCACATTGCCGTTAATCCCCTCCAAACCCTTTCCCCCCCCTCTTCAAGCGCAGTCATCCCACCCTCCTTGCCGCTCCCGAGAGTCCGCTTTCCCAGCCGCTTCAGTGGCACTGCCCTGGCTGCCTCAGGATCCTGAATCACTCAGAGCACTTGCCTTTGCCATCACTTTGACTGCGAGGAGGAGCCAGAAGGGGCGGGGAGACCGTGACCTGATGTGCCTACCATCACGTGACTTGCCGCCGCGGTCGGTGAGCCTGCCTCTGTTGCACGGTGCTGGGCTGCAGCGTTTGCCGCGTCCCTGGTCACTGAAAGGACGCCCCAGAACAGGGATTCACCACTGCTCAGAAAGCGGCGAGGACGGAGGGATCAGTGTGATCCGAGTGAGGGGCAGGACCTGGAGGGGGATTCGTGGCAGTGTCTCTCACTGGAATGGTTTTTAAACTGTGAACATCAGCCACTGTATTTGTCGGTTGTCCCTGTGCACAGAGGCAGGTCCCAGAAGTGGCGCCTCCCTCCCGGCAGATGCTGCCTGAAAGCAGCAGTCAGGCCCGCTGTCTCCGGGCCTCCTGGACCCTGTGGGCATGTGCAGGTTGCGCGGGGTCGGTGGGGCTGGGGGGGCCGCCCAGTAAGCGGGGCTGTCTCCTGCAGGGGAGGAGCACTACAACTGCATCTCAGCGCTGCACAAGGCCATGCGCGGCTCCGACCAGAACGCCTCGCTCTACTGGCTGGCACGCATGCTCGAGGGAGGAGAGGACCCGCTGTATGTGGCCCGGAGGCTCGTGAGGTTTGCCAGCGAGGACATCGGTGAGTGCCGGAGGCTGCTCGGAGGAGGCCGAGGCGCGTGGAGGATGGCGTGGGGCCGCGTGGGACTCACAGAGGCGGCTTCCTGCAGGAGTTTGGCCATCCATCTTGGCCGTGTGCATGCTTTCACGTGTGACATTTTCATAGTCTCCATTTTCTGTTTTCAGGACCATTCTGGGGACACAAGTGGCTGGTTAGGCTTGAAATAAAAGGGACATTTTCAGTTTGCCTTATGGCCCCGCGTTGAGATAGCCGCCTGCCCCGCGGCAGAGCAGAAGACCCGGCGCTGTTCACAGACAGAGCCAGGGCACTTGGCTTTTCTTTGATCTTTGTAAATATTCTGCCATTAAGGTGTCCGCCCTTTTGAATGTCTTCGTGCTTGTGCTCCTCATTTGTTTATGTAGTTTGCTGTGTCTCTCTTTCTCTTTCTCACGTTAACTGCTGGATGTAAAGTTTCTATCCTCAGGGGAAGGAAGCAGCTCTCAGCGCCTGTGCTCGCCACTCCATGACTGCTCCTTGCCTAGGTCGGTGTGACCAGCAATGTCAGTCTGCTTTGCTGAGTGGCACTGTTCTGGTCACTGCATCTACAGGCAGCGGTGGGCTCCGGTTGCAGCTGTGCACGGACCATGCAGTGTGCGCTGTGACTTACATGTCTCTGTCTCTGTGACAGGCCTGGCAGACCCCTCCGCACTGACACAAGCGGTCGCTGCCTACCAGGGCTGCCATTTCATCGGCATGCCGGAATGTGAGGTAAGTCGCCGGCCCCATCCTCTGCAGGTCTGTTCTTTACTGGTGTCCTGTCCCATGGTGCGTGTGAGCCAGTGTCCTGCCATCTCCGTCACATCGGAGACAGAAAGTGAGGTGCCCAGCTTTGGAACAGCCATCATTGTGTAGCATTGGAGACTCCTTGAGAGACCCTGCTGCCAACGAGCTCCCGTTTTCCAGCTGTGCAAGGAGGCCAGGGTTCAGAGCGAGGCCTTCAGGATTTCCAGGGGGCAGAGGGGCAGAAGGAGCTGAATAGCTGGCTTTGCAGTTTCTCCCCAAACACAGCAGCTTCTCACCTGTCTGTCCTGTTTATTGAGGGGTTTGGAAACATTTTTATATAGTAAAATGACCTTTGTTTTGAAAGAATGAAAACCGCTAGCCCAGCCTACCTCTCACATGTAGGGATTTCCATTCTTCTTGATACCTGGTCTTCTGGCTACGGCAAAAAAGGCAGATGAATCTTAGCGGGAGTCTTGAATTAACCAGAGGTATCAGAGTAGAGTGCCAGCTGTGGCCTCCCCCACCTCACACCTATCCTTCTTGGCCCAGGTGCTGCTGGCCCAGTGTGTGGTCTACTTTGCCAGAGCTCCCAAGTCCATCGAGGTGTACAGCGCCTACAACAACGTCAAAGCCTGCCTGCGGAACCACCAGGGCCCGCTGCCCCCAGTGCCGCTGCATCTGAGGAACGCGCCCACCCGGCTGATGAAGGACCTGGGCTACGGCAAGGGCTACAAGTACAACCCCATGTACAGCGAGCCGGTGGAGCAGGAGTACCTGCCCGAGGAGCTGAGAGGCGTCGACTTCTTCAAGCAGAGGCGCTGCTGACTCCGGGCGGCGCCCGCGGAGGGGTGGAGCGGCTGGGGAGCTCGGGCCGCCCGGGCAGGTGAGGACAGACCAGTACTCGGTGCCGGAAGTCAGGTGGAGGCAGGTCTTCAACTAAACGTGTCACATTGAAATTGTGTTCATTTGCACCTCGTGCAATGGTTATGCTTATGAAATACCTGGCAGCTTTGTGCAATGATTAATGTTATAAGGAATTATCTATTTTGTCATAGTATTTAAGTCATAATGTCATTTCAGAATTCAGTTAAGTAGGATTTTTTTCCTTTAAAAAATGTATATTCTGGGTAGTTTCAATTGGTTAAAAAAATGTAATCGTGATTTAATACTGCATAGTGTTTTGGGTATTTTTTTTATATGCAAAGGTCTTATGAGCCAATAAAACTATTTCAAAGTACTCACCAATTCTTGGACATTTTTCCTGCATGGAATGGGAGCCAACTCCTGGCACCACTGCCCTTCCGTGGCTGGCAATGGAAGGAGAAAGCCTTGTTGGTGAGGTCGGGGACCCTGATCCCTGGGCCGCTCTTCCTGCTCCCGCTAGGTCCTTTTGCAGCTGTGGTTTTCTGAACAGAAATTCTTAGTTTTGTGTGCTGAAGTTCCATCTGTCGGTGTTCCTTGGCTTGGTGTCCCCTGGACCCACTGCTGATTTTCATTGGCCCCCTTCCTTGGTCCCCAAGCGCCTGTCACCCCCGGAGCAGCTGCCATTGTGGTCCAGAGGCGCCGTTCTTTCCTGGATCCGACGCACCGCTTCTTGGTTTACCTCAGTGCAGCACGCCTAGTGTCACCAGCCTTGAGAGGACACGCCGTGGGGCTCTGTGACCTGTGGCTGCAGGCTGGCTGTGCATTAGCGCACAGTCGTCACCCCAGAGTTTTCCTTGTGTCGCTCGGATTTCCTCTGCCACCTTCCTTGCGGGATGCAGGACCCTGTGCTCCATATTGCTTGCCTGGGTGCACGCACCCTCCAGTAGCCTCGTGAAGCAAGCGGATCTGTAGAAACTGAACATTCCTCCTTCACACTTGTCTCACACTTGGGGAGAAGTGCTAGGTCAGGGTCAGGGTCCATTTGTTTACTGGTTGGTTGGTTGGTGGGGCCCAGGCCACGAGGAACTCTTTTGGTCATAGTAAGGGCTTTGGCGTTAGGGTTTCTGGTAAGGGAGTGTCATGATGAGACTTAAATTTCATAAGAGTAATGTCTAGTCTTCCGACATGCAAGGGAGAAAAAACAAAGAAAAGAGGCTGCTGTTGGGGGTACTGGGGGGCTGCCGGAGAGATGCAAGCACCCTCTGGAAGGTTCAGGAAAAAAACTGCTGGCTTTGTTTGGAACTGACGGCATAGTAAAGGCGGGCAAAACAAGGTAGTGGCAGCTGATTGGAGGAGTATTGGCGTGCAGGAGAAGTGGGGGGGTTAATTTTAGGGTTCGCAGGGGCGCTGTCCACCGCCGTGTTAGCTCGCACAGGGAACTCTGGCAGATGAGGGTCACTTCTGCTGCCACAGGGAGGGCTGGGTGGAAGAAAGGAACGCGGAATCTCTAGTACCACAGGGAGGGAGGGCACGGCAGGGCTGACCGGGTGGAGCAGCATGGAGTGGGTGACTGGTGTGTATGGTGCACACGCGTGAAAACAAGCTCGAGACGGCTGTCATTTATAGAGAATGTGATGGATGCCACCTCGGTCCTAAGTCCTTGGCACGGGCTGCTTATTTGAATCCTTGATAACTTAGTAAGCCAGGTGCCTTTATATTGTCAAGATGACGAGCTGGGGCACCGGGAGCTGTGCTCTTTCCTCAGGACCCAGGCTGTCCCCACTCCCTCTGCCCCGCTCTGGCGCACCCCCTCTGCCCCCATGCTGTGCCAGCTGTGGCCGCAAGGCCTCGCAAGCTGAGCCTCAGCTGTGCTGCTCTGCCCTGTCCCCATCCTTGACTCTGGCTTCAGTTTCTGGGGGTGCCCTCAGCCTCGTCATTTTCAAGCCTTCACTGCCAGCCTCCTGTTCCATGGTTCCCAGAGCTTGCTTTATTCTCTTAACATTTCTGCCTACTTTTGACTTTCCTTTCTGTCCTGTATCGGTTTACTTGTTTGGTGACTACTTCTTGCCTTGAGGATATTCATGTTTTTAAATTTCCCCTCCACATCTCTACTCTTCCCATCTTCCGCGTCTGCTGTGCCTCACATCCCGGTGTGCAGAGCCGAGCAACAGCCGAGAGGTCTGCGCATGTGTGAGGGCTCTGACTCTGACCCTTGCTGAGCTGTTTGCTGGGAACCCTGGGAGTCTGGCTCGGGGCACAGTCCCCAAGAAATAGCAGCCACAGAGTCGGCCGAGTGTGGCTCTGCATTCCAGATGCCAGGCAGGGAAAGAGCAGGTGTCACACATCAATGTGTCTCTTGGTCTACTGGGTGTGTGAAGTGGGACCCACAGCCAGAGCTCTGTTTGGGGTCCTCCTGGTTAGGGGTGCTCCAATGGCCAGGAGTTAAGGGAAGATGTCAGGGACCATTTTCCTTTGACTTCCCTGCCTGGGTCTGCTCTGTCTCCTACCCATGCATCTCTGCTGGGGCCTCTCTGGCGGGTGAACCGGAAGTTTGACTGGGAGAGAATCAGGGCAAGAAGGGTGGAAAGCAGGTCAAAGGCCAAGTGGAGAGGCCCTAGTGTGGGCAGATCCCTGAGTAAGGAACACAGGCACTGACCTTAGAAGAAACAAAACTGTTTCTGCAACATTTCAGACCTTGGAAACTGAAGAGTAGTCTAATAACGGTATGGGAGATGGCCAGATGTGAGCAGATTATAGACCTCAGGAAGCTTCGGGACTACACTTTACATCCAGAAAACAAGCCGAGAAAAGTGTCCCATCCTCAGTAATAGCAGCCTAGAAGTTACTTTTGTCATAATTGAGAAGAAGCAGGACTTACGTGAAGAGAACTGCATACTCCTGAAACCAAAAATCCTGAGCTGAAGTACAGGAAAGCCACTTTCCTGAACAGGTGTGATCTTAAATGGATTTATGTTCCTATCATGCTTGGCAAATTCTGTTTTTACACCCCTGATCTGTTTGGCAAATACACATGAAAAGTACATATTTGTTAGTGACAAAATGAGGGAGTGAATAAACTTTCCCTCAGATGTTTGTGTGGATGTCTCAGAATAGAAGTGAGCCCTTGAACTTCCTGGCCACCAGGAGTCTGGTCAGTCTTTGGCCAGCAGAGTGACCATCGGGAAGCTGCTAGTTAAGCCAGCTCGCCTCCCCCACTGCTGTATGTGGTGACCGCACTGAGCCCGAGACCAAGCTTCACTCAATGTCAGTAGCCTGATACAGTGAGAACCAGCTTTAAGATAGGGCTTGTTTGTCTGATTGCAAAGCAGTATGTGACTGTTGCAAAATGGCACAAAAAGGGTTCAAAACAGAAGGAAGAAAAAGGGAGTGTTCTAGAGAGAAAATGAAACTTCTTGCTCTTAGTGGTAACCATCCTAAGCCTCTTAGCACAAGTCACATGGTTTCCCACACCGGCGGGGCCACCAGAGGGCAGCACAGCTCACATTCTGCTCAGCACCAGCCACACCAGCTTTGCAGGCTGGGACGTGATGGACTGTGCCGACTGGGTATAGAGGAATGAGGAGCTGTCGCTCCCGCTGCCCTCTGCCCTTTAGCTCCCTATGCCTGGGCCCAGGTGTGGGTCAGCGTGGGTCTGAATCCCATCCGGGCCATTTCCCCACTCCTTGATCCTGGTGGAGGTGATCATCTTCGATTTTCACTGGTCTCATCTGCAGAATGGGGATTGGAATATTTCTTAACTACCACAGGAATTACATGGTGCAAAATGTGGCATCGCTTGGAATAGTGCTTGGCATATAGTCAGGGCTCCCCAAGAGCCATTGTCATTATACCTGGTTTTCTGACCTCAGCTGAAACCTCACTTTAGGGGAGCTTTCTCTGACCCCTTGGGGTAAGCCAGAGTCCCCAGCATTGGCCTCAGCAGCTCCGGGGACCTCTCTCTATGAGTCCTGATAACTAACGCCCGAGGCCTCGGTGCCGCGGACTGGATATTGTTTCCCTGCACCTCCTCCAAGAGCCAGCCTTCGCCCTCTGAGCGCCAGGCTGAACTGGGGGCCAAACCTGGGAACAGCAGAGGCTCTCACATTCCAAGAACACTTAGGTTTGGCTGCCCCCAATCAGTGCAAGCCTGAACTGCCGCTGCTGTACATCAGAATGTTTCCACATGTGATTTCAGTTCCTGACCTTACTACAGACACCAGAACTGCTAGCTCATATCACAAGAGCACCTTGGGCCTTGGCTCAGTCGGTGACTTACGGAGACCTCAGAGCTAGGATTGAAACCCACAGGCCCGACCTGCCCAGGGGTCCTCAGCTGCAAGTGCGTTGGCATCACTAGAGGGCTTTATGAAAACTCCTCCCACCTTCTAGTAAGTTCTCAGATGAGGCTGATGCTGCTGGTCCACACTGATCCCTTTGAGAACCACCACACCACACTGCAGGACTTGCCGCCAACATCCTGGAATGTATCTTCAAGGACAAAGTTGTTCGCAGACCCAGGGTGACACTGTACCAGTGTCCAGCCCTGCTCCCCCACCACCCCACTGTGTCCTCCATTTTTCCATGCTCCCTAGCTCTGGACACCTCTGGTGACTCCAGAAGGCCTGAGCTGGTCCAGAGCACCACACCCTGTGCTCTATCTCCCCCTCCCCGTCCTGCGTCCCTCTGTTGCTTCTAAGGTCAGCTGCTGGAGTGACCCAGAAGTTAAGTCATCCATGCCCAAAAGGCTTCCCAGGTCTGGAACCAGCTGCTGAGTGTCTGGGCAGGCCGGGCAGGGTCGGGCTGCCAGGCTGAGGGCAGTGGTGGGCAGCTGGCCGACATGTACTGCTGGGAAGGTGTCTTGCAAGACTTACAAAGGCACCCGCAAGCTTCGTGGGCCCAGGAAGAGGGAGGATTTTAAGCTACTCAATCTGTGTTTTACCATCCTAATTAAAACTCCACTTCCTTCAAAAACTTGCCTTCTTCCCTGGCTCCTTACTGAGAATAAAATATGTAGGTTTCATTCTGCAGCCTGCGAACGCTCCACCTGCCTCTACCTGTGCACTGCCACAGGTAGCAAAAGGTTATTCTGGGACTGGGGGGGGGGGGCTCCCAGCAGACCAGGAGTATGGGAAACTGAGGGACAGGGCACCGGCAGGAAGGGTACACTGTCACCCATGCGGGGGTGCTGTGGTCAGAGCCGGCTCTGAGGAAGCCAGAGTCCTCCCAGCCACCCTTGAGCAACCTGCCATCCTGAATCTGGGGTTTCTCCACTCTTCCTGTGAATTGCACGGCAGGCACCCCTGTATGTGCTCAGCGCTTTTGTGAAGCAGTGAGTGTTTGAATGGGATCCCACAAAGTTTCCCACTCTCCAGT